GAGGAACTGAAAGAAGAGTGCTTTGATGGCAAGGATACAGAGGATATTTAAAGTTAGCCAAACAGTCACTAGGAAACGTGCAGCTCTGAGGCATGAGTACAGATGTTCCGGGAAAGGTCAGGGGCCTGCTCTGCATCTCCCTCCCCATGTGCACGAGCTGCAGGCAAACAGATGGGGAGGCCTCTTCTGTCTGGGGAGCCATCTCCACCCACCCCAGCTGGGCACTTAACCTAGATTTAATAATAGCAGTTGCAGTTAATGCAGAATTTACAAGGCTATTTAGTACTGTGGGACTTGGGGATCTAGATCGTTCAAAATGAACAAGCAGTTTGAACCGTTTTCTTGATTGTTATCTCAAATTATGCCATTTGAAAAAATATCTATTGCATATGTTGCTTTTTAAGTACATGTAAAATATTTAGCACAGCACTGGGTAGTCTATCAGTAGAAGTAATATTCATTGTTATCCTTTTTGGTAATCTTATAAAGGGGAGGCGAAATAATAATCATTCCATTTTCTGCATCCCAGAGTCACAGAACTAGAGGCTCTCTTGTGACATCTTCAAAGTCAGGCTACAAATGTTGACATCGCTCCTCCCTGAGGAAGTCCAATAATTACCATTTACCCCTTCTTTCCATCTCACCTGACCCCTAAAAGCATTCTCTGACTTTCATTTTAATTCCTCCATTCTGTGATTGTTGCTCACTACCTTAAATGATACACACCTATACATCCCTTAAATGAAGTTTTTGTCATATTCTTTCCAAGAATTGGAAAACAATATTTTATGACACCTTTCATTGTATTTACTCTAGAACTCTATAATTTCAAAAGATGATCTTAGTTGAAGTGATAGCAGCCTTAAAAGCATGGAGCAACGGGCTGAATGTGCCACATTTCTAAATGTGTGATCCTATAGAGCTCGCTGCATGAACTTGAAAAATGCTATTATTATTTCTAAGCCAAAAATAAATGATCATTTCCTTATACTATTTCATGTATGCCAATGCAACCAATGATATCTGAGATGCAAACTTCAAGTTCACTAAAATATATTCAACTAAGATGAACAGATGGGTTTTTTTTCTAGAAAACAAGCATATATATTTGCACATAACAGCCATTATGTCACTAGGCCCACAATAAGATTTTTTTAGCAAATTTACAAGAAGTGTTAATGTCATTCAGTTACTCTTGATAACTTTTAATTATGCTACATAAATCAAAATTATTGAGGGAAATGGATGCTCTTTGCTTAAAACAAGTGACTGACTACTTTAAATACTTGTGAGTAGCGACTAGCAGGATAGAAATGGAAAGAACTAAAGCTTAAGGACTTTTCTGCTGAGTATAAGTTAATCCACTTGAAAATTAAAAGTATTCATTGAAATAGTTCTTATTAAAGATAATGTGAAGTTGAAAATGCATCATATACTGTAATAATGTTTATATTCAANTAGAGATTGAATTGTCTAACTCAGCTATGTAATGTGTTAATTTTGTGTGGATATCCAATAAGCAAAATCCATTAATCTAATAGTATCTCTAATGAGGATAACCCTATTCATTTTTTCACTTTCAGTGTAGAAAAATTAACTGAGGTAGCTTGCTATCACATTGAAACATCTACAAAAATTCAGAATGAACTTTACGTAGGCCAAGAAGACTTCTTCATTAATAACGATATAAAGGTCTTCCCAGATCCCCCTCCTCCGATACGTCCTCCACCTGTAGAAAAGGAAGAAAATGGCACCCTGACCATCAATCAGCTGGACAGTCTTCTAGATCAGTTCTTAGATATAGCGCCCAAAGGTAGGAAAAACAATTATTATTCAAAGAGCATTTAAAAGGTCAAGATTAACCAGGCTGTCAATCACTTGTCCACAAATAAAATCAGCCCTCTGAGATGACATGGCACTAAAATGAGCCCTTGCTTTGTTCTAGTTTATCTCATATTTGCTTCATCCAACATAGATCTGAACTAAGTACACTGGAAAAACAGTGACTAATGTTTTGGCGGTGTGGCGATCCTCCTTCCTGGTAATTCTCCCCTCCTGCCTCCCCTGCACCTGGCTGGCACGTTGGAAAATTTGAGTATCGCTCCATCTGGCAATTGAGAGACAGCCTTTGTGTGTAGTTCTAGTTTAATTTGTGTATTGGGATTATGAGTTTGTATTGGTGGACGTGGATTTTGAACATTATTGACCACTCATAGTCTCTTTCAGAAGGAAACTTAGTATTCATGATGATAACCATCATATGCCAACTTCAAAACCAGCATTTGTATTTCAACTAAAAGTTTAAAAATGAATAAGAAATCGCAGCTATAACTTGACATGTGTATGTCTTAGCAGATTAACTCTAGAAACCCTGGGGACTAACAGATGTCCACTGACACGTTTATCTAGTTTCAGAATATGGTAGAATACACCAGTTTCAAAGTATGGTAGAAAAAGGAAGAGAGAAGAAAGAAAGAGAAGGACAGCGATAGTTATATTAA